TAGGGTTTGTAATATATACATTTCAAGTGAGAATATATACATTTTAAGACCTAACCAGGAACGACTGCGAAAAATGCAGCACAAGGTCCTCTGGTAGGAATTGAACCTACGGCCCTGCGATTCCGGTGCAGCGCTCTAACCAACTGAGCTACAGAGGCCAGCTGTTGAGCTGTAACCGTAAGTTCATGTATATTTAGGTAATCGGGTGTGTGGGTTGTGATAAGGTGGACTTCAATAATTTGGATTCTTGCACTTCACTTGTTGGAATTAATATTAGAATGTTAGGGTTTGTAATCCAAGTGAGAATATATACATTTTAAGACCTAACCAGGAACGACTGCAAAAAATGCAGCATAAGGTCCTCTGGTAGGAATTGAACCTACGGCCCTGTAATTCCGGTGCAGCGCTCTAACCAACTGAGCTACCGAGGCCAGCTGTTGAGCTGTAACCGTAAGTTCATGTATATTTAAGTAATCGGGTGTGTGGGTTGTGATAAGGTGGACTTCAATAATTTGGATTCTTGCACTTCACTTGGTGGAATTAAAATTGTAATGTTAGGGTTTGTAATCCAAGTGAGAATATATACATTTGTATATTCTCACTTGGATTACAAACTATTCTCACTTGGATTACAAAATATATACACAAAATATATACATGTACTATACATTTGTATATTCTCACTTGGATTACAAAATATTCTCACTTGGATTACAAAATATATACATGCATATATTCTCACTTGGATTACAAACCCTAACATTCTAATATTAATTCCACAAGTGAAGTGCAAGAATCCAAATTATTAATTTCAAATGCCCGACCGGGGCTAAGGTTTGAGTGGAAATGCCCAACGCTCGGGATGTGCTTTACAGGAAAATAGCTGGGCGAGGGGGATGGACACACTTGGATTTGGCTGATGCATTAAAAGTCCTGTGCTTATTCCAGACTGCTTGTCAAATATTTACTTGCTAGAAGTAGAAATTTACTCTGACAACTGGATGAAGAAGACATTAAATAAGTACTGGTCAATAAACAGAAATGTATTTTATTTCATAGTATTACAATTTTATTTTTATACTATAAAAATAAAATATAAATATGCAGCATAGAATATGCAAATTCGAGGCAAAATTATTGTTGAATCGGTTTATTGATAGGATTTTATAACAAATAGCAACTATAAAAGTTTGTACCTTGTCTTCACCGATCGCTTTATTCTGTTAGCCAATGCTTTTAAATTTACATATTTTAGAATCAGTTCCTTTCCCGGTAACTGCATTTCTAAATGAAATCAGATCAACGTGAGTAGTGAGTGCTGAGCAGGCCGTTTTACTATAAACAAATTTTAGGAATTGATAACAACTTTGAAAAATATATCGTTGCACATTCGGTCACAGTCGGAAAAATGTTCATAGTATGTTGTACCGTCGCTTGCACCTAACGATGAACAGTCGCTCATAAAAACATTCGCGTGATTAGAATCTTCAATGTTTGTCAAGAACAACAACACTTAATTGTTGTTTCCCATGTGTGCAATAAAAATAAGTAACAAAACTTTGTCTGGACTTGTTGGGCTAGAGACCTACTGGAAACTTTTACAGGGTTTTTAATGAGAATAGAGAATGTTTTATCTGCAACTGTTCACCCTTAGTTGCCACCGACGGTATTTGACAGCATAAAATTGCCTGCGGCTGTGATAACTGATATAAATAAAATACAGTCTGGTTATACTGACTTGAGCGTGTCTTGACAAACTCTTTATGGGAAAATTGTGAAGAAACAGTCGAATATAGAGGGTCGAATATCATACTTCAACTCGTATAGCTACAGTAACATTAGTAGATTACTACATAGCGTTGTGAAGACAAGCCTTTTCTTACCTTTCGCTTCACTCAGCAGTCTTTTCCATGCTTCTCTACGCTTTCCCAGGCGAGCTTCTCTTTCCTCAGCAGTCTCCTCGAGCAAACGTCGTCTTCGCTCCCTCCTTTTCGCTAGACGTTCGGCTTTCTTGTCGTTTCCTTGCCGCTCTTCATTTGGCTCCATATCTTTTCAATTGGTATTTGATACCGTAATTGTTTTATTAAACTTTTTATAGAACAAATTGCTTTGAAAGTTGTCAAAGTTTTTTGCGAACGTACAAAATACTGTAGTGTAAAAAGCAAATTATTTTCATGGAGTATCTGTCAGTTGAAGTCGTCATTTGTCATACAACAACAAATTTTAAATTTGACCAATCAGTGTTCGCTATCCATGACAGTCCGCCATATTTTTGAGATCAGTGAGGATGACCACCCATCGTTGGTGACCCACGCCCGCGATATTTGATGAACTCATTGAACTAACTAGAAAATACATGCATGCAGAAACCCTCGCCTTGCTGACAAAACCGTTGTATTTTCCGAACATGAAGTATCTAACGTAGTTGTTATGGTAACACGATAATTTTTTAAGAATATTGTTACAAATGAAAATCGCCTAAAAATATCACTTTTAATTACAAAATTATCAATTTCCCAACATATATGTGTTAGGTATGTAATTATACGTAATACAAGCTTCAATTTAAGGTAAAATTCAGCCACAAACAATTCACAAAAGGTTTTAAAGTGTTCTTTTATATAAAACTAAACTGCCTTTTATAACTATTAAATGGCTTTATCGATAAACTTTGAGTTTGCAATAAAATGATTTCAAATTCTCGCTTGCAAATAACTTTGCTTTATTTTTTATTTAAAAAATTCAATATAATAAAAAAGGGAATCAATATTAAAGATACACTGAAATTATATGATGTCTTGTTTAGTTGTTTGATATACGGAAAAGCCGTCGGGTTTTAAAGCCATTATAAAATCAATATTTAAAACAAACTTACCTTCGTTAACGTCGGCTCCCTTCTTTTAGCTGATCCTTTGGCCCGTTCTTTCTTGAAATTTACAAAATCTTGCAGAAATATGAGCAAAAATGAAGAATATTTGCAAGAAATTTGACAAATTTATCAATCATCAACTCATCAAATCAAGAAATGTTTGCTATTTCGCTGTCGTCATGCAGTCGTTATAATGCAAACTTTAAATTGGACCAATCAGTGTCCGTTATTCATGACAGTCCGCCATATTTTTGAGATCAGTGGGGATGACCACCCATCGTTGGTGACCGACGCCCGCGCTCATTGATGAACTTTAGACTTCCCTAATGCTTTCGTTTCCCCGGGTGTATATAGCCGGGGGGAATTAGTACCCTCGCACGGCGCTTCGCGCCGCCGGCTCGGGGAATATAACTGGAACGACACGTTCAGTAAACTGCGCATGCTAATTTTGAAGCCAAAATTTGACTCCCATGAAGCCAGTTTTGACTCCCAGACACGCACTTCCACGCGTGTTTCTACTGCGCGATTTACTCGCGTGACAATGCAGGGGGCGATCGAAGCATGCTGTTTTGAACGTTTCCATGCAAGATGTGAATCGAAAGGGAAACGGGCCTTTTATTTTATGGTTTTAAAGTGTATTTTCATGTTCGAACTACAAAATATTTAGCTACAACAGAGCGGAGCATGATTCTAAACAATCAAGTAGTCGAATGGTGTAAAACAAACGATACATCGCAACAAATTTTAAAAATATATAAACAGTGGACATTGGACATCGAGGCCGTCAATTTGGCAAACTTCGAACTTCAGAACAAATTATCTAATATAACAAGTAAGTTGAAACGTTTCTTTATTTGAACACAAAATTACGTTATTCATTGAATCTTACTCAAAATTACTTCTCTTATTCAAAATTACGTTATTCATATTAAGTCATTCATTGTTAAATAAAATTAGTTTATTGAGCCTATGGCGATCGCTTTGTTTGCCACCGTTGACAATTTCTTTGTTGTATTTCTTGCCGAAGGTAAACAGCCGAAGCGTGAAGAACTTGTCCGCCGTACATTTGATGAGCTTCGTCTTGTGATCATCCTCAACCAAGATTTCATTGTTACCGTCTTCATGATCCGCGAACAAAACGACTGTGGTGTCGAGCATGAAGTGACGACAGACTTCGACGATCATCTTCTTTTTCAAGTTGGTTTCCTTGGTTATTTGTTTGCCGTCTTTTCCGCAGACCATTGCCTTGAACACATGTTCGCAATATTCGATTGTGTGAAAGACCGATGTCGACGGAATTTTTAACCCTCCCTTGTTGACGAAAAGTGTAAAGGCGGATGCTTTGCCAGCTTCATGATATCTAGAAGAAGCACAACCATGTTGACAAGTTGAACTGGCTTCGTCTGGCGCAGGAATAAGGCTCATTTTACATGAAGGACATGGCAGCTTATCGATTAGCTGTGTGACAATATACCCTGCGATGTAGAAAAGGACATTTGCTGTGAATTCACTGTGTTCTTTATCTAAATGTCCACACATGAAGTTCAACTCTGGCGAATTGTCTAAGGAATCGTTTTCAGATGCAGTGGTTTGCTCTGTGTTTTCTGAATCTGGAGTTTTGTTTTTTCTGGTGGTGTGGAACAAAGGTATGATTGAGTTGCATCCAGTGAAATCTACACAGTTGGCATTTTTTGATGCAGTTATCGCATTCCGCATCAACATTTTTCTGATGGCATACTTAAATTGAAGACAGTTGGGATTGTTGTTCCATCCCCCTCGGGAGCGAATGCATGAAAAAAGCAGTTCTATGTGATCTTGCGAATATTTGTAAGTAAGCAAGTACTTGAAAGGGTTGTCTGGTTTACAAAACATTTGGGTAGCCATTGAGATTGTTGATTTAATGGAAGCCACAAATCCAATAACAAAGGTTTTGCGTTGACAGGTAGAAAGTGGTTGTGGTGGTGTTGTATTGGTTTTCAAGGACATTAGATATTGGGCAATAGATAGGAGAATTTTTTCCCATGTGTCTTTCGTTTGAAGCTTGAGAGGTGTCTTGAACCCTTTACCCAGTGGATTTCTTGAGTTTAACATGTCAAATAGTTGGTCAATTACACGAATGAATTTAACTGTACCTTTACTGTCACAAAACTCTGGTATTTTAACTGAAGTGTCGAGAAACTCTATTGCATTAGCTACTGACGAACTAAGAGTTTGTGCCGCTAGTCTAACGTTCATTTTATGTTTTTCATATTCTAGATGGTTTGATGAGAGTTTATTGGCTAGCTTCAGTCCTTCATGCTCTTGAAGTTTCTGCAGCTCCTCGATGTGCTTCCACTTGATAATATTCCCCTCGCCATCAACAAAGGATTGAAGTTTTCCCAGTGCATTACGGGCAAGTTTGAGCATATGGCAAGGATCGAGTATGACAAAAATTTCTTCCCCCGTTGTTGGATGGATAAATGAAGACTTTATTTTGTTGTAAGTGCCAACAAAGTTGCAACCAAGAATTTCAAATGTTCTCAGATTGACTGATGTACCATCTGCTGTTACTGACCAGACCTTCAAACCAGCTTTTGCAGCCAATTCCAGGGATTTTTTTATCAACACAGCTTGATCTTTGGCGGTTGCCTTGTCTGTCAGGAAATACCCAATGGGACACTTCCAGTGACTTCTTGTGCCAACTAAAAGAAACACCAATGCCTCGGAAGCTATTTTCTCTGACTCAGCAGCAGGAATTTCATCACCAAAATCGACAAATCCAGAGTACTGGTCTTTTTCAGGATTCCAGAGGGTTTGCTTGCGGATGGACATTGCGTCGATAACCAAGCAGCAGTCCTTATTAATTGGAGAACATGCAACTTCTTGGGATAGAGATTTGAATGCTTCTTTGATAAAACCTGGTTCACATTTGAATGAGGAAGACCATCTTCTGATTAAGGATGGATTTGGCAAGGGAATTATGGAGCGGACATACTTATAGGCTTTTGGTGAGTAGAAATACAATGTTAATGCAAATTCTTTAATTTCTTCTGAGTACCTTCTGCCGGATGGTTTAGATTTAAGATTTTCTTTAAAATTGTAAAGGAATTCCAGATGTGTGTTTTCAAATGTAGAATGAAGGGCTTCTGCTTCCTTTGAACTAATCACCAGTTTCTCTTGTAATGTCTTAATGACTTCACCCATGGTGTTAGCTTTTTGTTTTGTCCTCCGTAATTGTTGTTGGAGGTTTCGTATTTTTTGTCTCAGTTTTTTTTCTAATTCATCCCTTTTTTCGTCTGCAGGTGCAGTTCTCCGGACTTTTTCTGGTGGCGACGTTTCATCATGATTGGTTGCTGGGAGTGGTCTCTTGTTCGAATGCTCGAGTCTGCTTTGCAACTCATCTGGTGGTGGTGTACATTGGGTGGAATTGGACATTGATGGTATGGCATAGTTTTTTAGTCGGCATGTTCCATTTGATGAAGGAGGAAGGATATAGTCTGACAGTTGGAAATGGTCACTACATATACGGCTGCCTCTTTTTGCTCTCCATGGTTCCTCGAGTATGTTCTCTTGTTCAACAAAACTTTCCCAGCATTCTAGTTTTTCATTATTTTTCATAGGGAATCTATAATAGTTGTTTACACATACTTGAGCTGATATTTTACACTGTCTAATGCCAGATGGTTTTACTCAACAAGGGAAGAGTGCTGGCACTTAATGGGTTAACTGGCCTATCTGCCCATGTGTCTAGTTAACCCAAAGAGTTGCATTGCACCCTGATGCACCCTACTTCATGATTTTACTCTGTCTAATGCTAGATCATTTTACTTGTCAAGGGTAGAGCGCTGGTGCTTAATGGGTTAATATATTGAAAGCACTTTTCCAGCTTATTGTTTAATTTGATTAAAACATCAGTGAAAATTTAAGCTGTGTGTATCTTTTTCCTTGTATAATGTTGTACTTAATAACTCATTGAGTGGCATCACTCGAACCTTGGCAAGTGAAATTGTCTGATATTAGCCAGAGTAAAATAACAGTTTGGTTATCAGGGCACAATCACCATCTAAAGTATTTTTTAAAGGGTTAAATGTCCAAGCTCACACTGTCCATTTGCTAAATATTCACTTGTATTTTTAATTAAAACTTGATTGTATATATATAATAAATAAATTTTCCTAATGCTTCATAATTGTGTATAATATATGTAATGTCATTTTTTATCTTCATTAATTAATGCATTAAACCAGTTGTTTTTTACTTTATTATAAATAAGGTAAAGTAGTTATTACCTGTGAAAAGCAACAGTAACTCCTTCTCCATGGTGAGGAATGCCCCTATTTTTACATCCACGTATGACACATGTGTGTGGCATGCTTTCTTATTCACTTGTGTGACCTAATTATTCAATTTTGCCTTGTACAAAAAACTTTTTGCTATTCAAAATATTTGTTTACTAAACAACTACAGTAAAAATGCGCTCTAAAGTTCAAAAAAAGGACTGGGCAGAGAAGAAACCCCAAAGTTTTGGCACTCGTAAAGTTAACATTTCCTGGCAAAAAACAGACTTAAACGACTATCTTCATGGTAGAAGTGTCCATTTATTTCATTCCCATCGCTAAATAACTAAATTACAAAAGAGTTACAGGAATTAAATGTTAAAAAACGCACAAAAATCTGCCATGCAAACTCGGCCTAAATATATTGCACTCCTAGCAGTGCATTTTTGGCCAAAAAAGAGCAGTTTTGTTAATAATTTCCTTACAAAAAGTCGATAAAAGCAAGCTATTATCATCAAGAATGTTTTACAAACTTTAATGTAAAAACAAAACTATTTTACATCTTCGTAAAATGAGTTTTTTCGTGAGTTTTGACCCGTCTGTCGATCGATGTTTTTGTTTTGGCCGTGTTTGTTTTTTTTTCGTGGTAAGGCTGGGTACGACTTGCATAATTTGGCTTCAAACTTCCGGTTGAACGTGTCGTTCCAGTTATATTTAGTTCAATGGCTTTCCCTCACTTGCTCACCAATGGCCTCGCATAGGAAGTTGTGTATTCCGAATGGAATCAAGCATACTTGCTAACTTTGCAGCCAAAAATATGTTTAATAAATATAATTACAATATGATTCCATCCTATATTCAAAACTAATTCAAATCGTGCACAGTGCACTCACGATCGAGTGACTCGTGTAATTTTATACGCAACAAATTACAAACTTTAACATATATAACAATTAACAAAGTACACATGGATGCAAAAGAACATACATAGCATGGTAATACCTTCATTGCGTAATTTAGTAGCAAAAATAATCCACAACGTACAGTAAATATCCACAAAGACAAGTTTATAGCAGCAAACGAGACTCCAACGAGGGACAGTCTAATCACAGAGTAGATATACTACACAGAGGTGGAACTCAGCCAAAAAAGTGTAACCGGCCGCCAAAAGCTTAGCCAGTGCGCTAAAGAGAGGCATTCACCCCCCCGAACTCAAATTTCAAGATGGCGCCCGAGTGTTTCAGAAAATAATCGACACGAGAAACACTTGTTATTTTGCTCATAACAGTTTTCCTTTACTAAAGTTGTTATTAACATGTTTATATAATTCGTCCTTCAAAGATGTGTTGGTATGAGAAACCTTTGAAGATTATCTACCGATTTATATGGCACTATATTCATCGTAGGAGTGAAAATTGAAATTCCGAAATTACCGAGAAATTAATACTCATGTGAGTCATGTCTAAAGGATTTAGAAGAAATGTAAATGGTATAATAACTTATGTGCAGCTGGATTTTGTTGTATTTAATATTTTGTGAAATACTTAGGCAGAAATCAGTCAAGATTTCACTATCTGAAATTGAAACCGCTATTGTAGTATATGGCACCCTGTTTATAATAGTGATAAAAATCATAAAACGTGAGGGATGTTGGTTTTTTACATTTCAAACACACTATATTTAAAAAAATATGATGTACATAGTTCATATTTAACATCATTCAGGTTTGCTATTCTTTAAATGAATTTTGATTAGAGTTTCTGAATGAGATGCCGAAACAATGTGAAAGTTGGGTATTCTTTAAAGTAATACTTTCATGTGTTGTGATGCGACATCTCGGCACATGGTGGTCAGCTCTAAAAGGAAACACAGTTACCGGTGTGAGTATATTGTTCACTATATGTCTTGACCTCATGTTTGCTGGCGAATACATGCAATTTAGCCTCATTTGCTCACTCCCCAAGTCATTAGTGTTGATACATGTAATGTTGACCACCATGTATAACCCTTGTATAACCCTATGTATAACACCTTGATGTTACCAATTGTTTACATCAGAAGGTACATATGTGCAGAACAGACTTGACCGTCTGTTCATCTCTAACCCATTGAGTCGCATTGTGCACTGATGTGCCCTACTTTATTATTTTACTCTGTCTCAGGGTTGGTAACTTTCTGAATAAATAAGCCAAATATTATTATCATAACCTTTGTTTCTTTTGTTCGAAACAAAGACATGAAAGGGCCGCTTATAACAATGTTTGGCTTATTTATTCAGCAACCTACCCACCCTGCTCTGTCTAACGCCAGATTATTACTCTGTCTAATGCTATACAATTTTACTCGTCAAGGGGAGAGTGCTGGCACTTAGTGGGTTAACTTGTTTATCTGCCCATGAAGTGTCTAGTTAACCCATTGAGTCACATTGCACCCTACTTTATTATTTTCTGTCTAATGCCAGATGATTTTAGTTGTCAAGGGGAGAGTTCTGGGTTAATATTTAAGTAGAATTAGCCTCTTCCACAGGCAACTCTGTATTGTTTTGTATAATAGGTTTTATATTTGGGATTTTTTCCTCCCATGTTTTGCTCTCCCCAGGCCTAACTCTATTTTGCTTGAAGCTCGACCAAAGTTTGATCATTTACAAAATGAAATTACAATACAAAACAAATAAGAGTTGAAAACCTGTTATACAAAACAATACAGAGTTGCCTGCAGAGGAGGCAAAAATAGAATATGATTTATAACAGCAGATAACATTGAATTGTAGAAATCGAAGAAAAATAAAACATTCAAACAATTGATGTAAACAATGTATTTTTCAGTCTTTTCAATATACCACATTTATCAAATGTTCATATTTTACCATTATTTGTCTGACACTCCGGGGCTTAACACTGATACATGTAGGATAATCTATGCTGAAAAAAACTGGAGGTAAAGAGTTGGGGGGCTGGAAAATTCTTCACGAGGGCCTTTACATGCAGCTGATGTAGAATCCAATGGCTTATTATTACCTACATTACAGGAAACAAAAACCTGAAACTATAGATTCACCTCTGACACTCTGGCTTATAGCCTCACTTCTACCTCCAGGGGAAGTGAAATTGTGACACTCACACATTATTAGTTCCTTCTATGGTGCATATGGCTCAAGCATTTTAACAGTGTCAGTGAAAATGTCCAATGTTTATTCAACCATTAATTCACCCTCAACCCATTCATGTACAGGCTGAAGTTATCTGGTATGCCTATATGCACATGGGGAAAATTTTGAGTACAAAAATAAAAGGTTGACCAACAATCTTGCTAGCATTTTTAATCAATACACCCAGGGGTGAAGACCTTGGACCTTCTTAAAGAGGGACATAAAAATCCATTTCAAAGGAATGTTGTCACCCAAATATTTGGCTTAAAAACTGTATTATGCATTTCCAGGGAGCTGGTTGCAAAAATCTCTTGGAAAATATTTCCAGGGGAGCCAATGAAAAACATTATTTTTGGAAACTCCAGGATGTTTTGAAGGTCTTCACCCAAAATCACTACTTAAATACTGAACACTGAAAAATATTTGGGTTTTTATCAAATTTCCCAATCATCATTTGCTTCTTCATCATAACTCTTGCCCAGTCTACAAATGGGAAAAATTGTTGTCAAAAATGTTGTGTCTTGGGGTACTTATTACTTGATTAGTCTATTACAAAGCCATGGGTAGCCTGTCCTCCCATCTAGGTGCATGCTTAACATGACTGGTACATATAGAAATTATTTTGGAAAAGAATGTCACTATATTATTTCATACATACAATAAAATGAACTAAGAATCTGTTAAATTCCAATTATTATTAGCATTCACAAACAACAGTGTTACTACAGTCAAAATAGCAACAAAATATATAAGTCACAGACAAAATATATAAATCACAGACACAGCTGATTGAGCTGAATGCTTATAAATGGAACTACTGAACGTAGTGAACTACAGTACATACAAGTATACAACTGTAAAATATCAGTAAAAAGTTGTAAAAACAGATTAAGTCATTAACTATATTCTGAATTCACATGACAATTGCTAATGTAACCCCCTGCACTCTTAATTCCTGACTATCAGACAAATAGCAAAAAATAGCATGAATGTGTTTATATTGTTAAGTTTTTAATAGTCAAAAGATTCACACCGTACCTTAAGATACAAAACTTTTGCCGTTGTCAACCAAATTCTTTGTCAAGCAAAGTTTCTTCCTTTCCACAAAATATCCACGATATTTTACACAAATTTACAGGTATATTAAAGCTAAACTAGCCAAGCAGGCTAAGCCGATAAACCAAAATATGGCA